CCAGAATAGATATAGCACGAATTTTTAATTCGCCTGCCTTTCACAGACAACAATGCTGGGTTTGAAAGCTGGGCACAATTTGGGTTTTGTGAGGGGTCCCAGGCCCAGCTGGCCATATGGGATACAACATGTAGAACATGCCGAACAATGAGCGCAAGTGACAGCCCGAACAAAACGCGGAGGACACCTCTCCCTGACTCCGCGCTCCGCATCAATGCCGAGCCCCAAAAACAGCCAAGACGAAGGCAGGGAAGGCGCAGGGAGGGCGTCCMCCCCTCCCGTACCGTCTCTCCCGGTTTTTCGCCGGTTCCTTTGGCTCCTTTGGCTGCGGCTCGTTAATATGCACGCCTCTAACATGCTCACCTCCCTGCCTCCCCCATTGTGCTGCTCTCTGAAGTCTACTGTATATTGTGCAAAGATAGACTGGCCCGGCAGCATGGCAGATATAAGGCCACGGAGGTTAGGGCCACACAACTGGTTTGATAGACTCGGCAGAGCCCGAGGGGAAAGGCGGAGGGAACCAAAAAGGAAAGGAAAAAAAAAAAAAAAAGTGGTGAAAAAGAATTGAAAATGAAAAAAGTAAGTAAGAAGAAAAAAAGTGACAATTTTCCTTATCTTCGCTCCTGGCTCGCTCGCCGGGCTCGGAGAAGGGAAAACCGACACTTGATCCTGTGTCCCACTCCGGTCCGGGACAGCAGCAGAGCTTCCCAGGGTTTGGAAGCGGCTGCCCCGCGGAACGGGAGCGGCTGCTCCGCTGTGGAGCCTCGGTAGTTGGGGSATAGGAGGCGGGCGAAGGAGAGACGGGTAAAGAGGGAAGGAAAAAAGTGCAAAAAAGATAAAAAATCCCAAAGGCGACTCGGMGGCTGTGCGGGGATCCGTGGCCGGCGGAGGATGCGCTGGGGCGGAGATGTGCGCCGGGAGCGGCGGGGCCGGGATGCTGCGGGCCGGGATTTTGCAGGAAGAAGATTTAGCGGGAGCGGGATGCTGCGGGCCCGGTGCCGATCGTCTCTTTGGCACTGAACTGCCCCGTCCTGGCCCGGCTCAGCCCCGCGGGACGGGGTGGACGCTGTCCCGGCCCCATCGCTCCGGACAAAAAAGTCTGTTTGGATTTGTTTTCGTTTTTTGAAGCATCTTTCCCAGCCGAAAATCTGTAGGGGCGGGCGAAGGAGCCGCTGCTCTGCCGCAGCCAGCTCCGAGCTGGGGCTATGCCGGTCCGTCCCGACCGGGCTCAGGGCCGGTCCCCGTTGCACCTCGGCAGAGCCGCCCAGCCCCTCCTCGCCTCTCCCTTCTCCCCCCTCCTCTGTTTTTTTGGGGGGTTCCTCCTGTGTTAACCCTTTCGCCTGCCCTGCCTGAGCCGCCCGCGCATCCCCGAGGGCTGACCCCGAGGTTTCCGCTCTTCCCCGCGTCCGCAGGGCCCCCAGCCCGAGGAGGGAGCGCCGGGGTGATGCTGGTACCCAAAACTCAGCATCACGGTGGGGGGCACTGGGGTGTAGAAAAGCGCAATCACAGACAGAGTATAGGAGAATACGAATTCTCCTCGCTCTCATTTTTTGGCGGCGGGATAAAACTGACTKGTCTCCCCCCAAAAAAGACGCTTTTCCCCAAAAAAAAGAACAAGTCCGGCGGGTGGAGGGGGATGAGTGGGGCCTTGCTCGGCTGTGTCCCCCCTTGGAGACCCGGCCGGCTCCACGCAGGGCTGGGCCGGGTGATGCAGGGACGCGGCCGCTGCCGCAMCGAGAAGTCGCGCAAAACCCTTCCGTCGTTGTTATCGGTTCCTTCTCTATTATTTTTTCTTGAAACGCAGCTTTTAAAAAAAAAGTTAAAATTTGTGTTAAATCGCGGAGAGCCCGTGGCGGGGTGAGGGGGATGCATAAGGAGCGAGGAGGGTTTCAGCATCCGCGGGGCTTTTTCCTCCGCTCGGGAATAGTTGAGGCGACCCCCAAAGAGGAGAGAGCGAACTCAAGACAGCGACAACCACCACGACAAGGTGTAAAAACCACCCCCGCTGGCAGCTGTCGGGGCCGCCAATCGTGCTCGAAAGGGAGAGATGGAGCTCCCCTTTTTGGGTGCTACGCACGGCATGGGGAAAATTCCCCATTCCTCACAAAATCACAGGAGCAGCGGGGGGGTGTTTTATTCTTTATTTTTTTTTGTCTTTTTTTTCTTTTTTCTTTTTTTTGTAGTTCTGACGATCTCCCCCTCCCTCCCTTTTCCTCTTTTATTTTAGTTGTAGGTAGACAGGACCACTCTGAATGGCGCAAAAAATTTCTGTAAACAATGACGCACAAAAAACACCTCCCCTCCCTTACCCCCCGCCTCCCCCCGAAATGAAACCGAATCCCCCCCAAAAAATGGAGGGGAAAAGAAACGGCAGAGGGAAAAAAACATAATAATAATAATAATAGCAATAATAATAATAATAGCAATAATAATAATAATAATAATAGCGTTTCCCTCTCCATTCCTTCCCCCGCAGTTTCGATTTTTTACTTTTGGAGCATCAGTCTGTCTCCTTCTCTCTCTCTCTCTCTCTCGCTCTCTGTTTATTATTTTTCTGTTTTCCTCCGTTTTCGGGGCGTGTGCGGGGTGTGCGCGCTGCCCGGCAGCCCTCACCAAGTCCATTGCTGCGCCTGTACCAAGTGGTGCGCTGTGGGGTACTGGGGGCTGCCGGCCGCGCTGTACTGCGCGTTGTATTGCATATGCTGGAGAGACTGGGCGCTATAGGCCGAGAAGGGGATGCCCGTCTGGAAAGTCGCGGCTGCCAAGTCCTGAGCTTTGAGCGTGTGGCAGGGCTTGCCGTCCCTGACTAAGACCGGCACGGCCACCCGCCGCGGGGAGGGAAGAGGAGTCACTTCCATACCTTTCTCGGCCCGCGCCCGCTTCATCTTGTAGCGGTGGTTCTGGAACCAGATCTTCACCTGCGTGGGGGTGAGGCGGATCAGGCTGGCCAGGTGCTCCCGCTCCGGCGCCGACAGGTACCGCTGCTGCCGGAACCGCCGCTCCAGCTCGTAGGTCTGCGCCTTGGAGAAGAGCACCCTCCTCTTCCTCTTCTTGCCCGCGTCCCCGCCGCCCGCCGCTTCCTTCTCGTTGTCGGGCGACTCGTCCGCCGACGGCTCCGGGGACTTGGCCGAGGGGTCCTGGCCGCCRCCGCCGGCCGCCAGCCCGTGCACTGCAGAAAAGCCGTGCCCGGTCAGCGGGGGGACCGGGCGGGGGGGTGCCCTTCTGCCGCCCCCGCGTCCCTCCCGCCGCCCGGCCGTGGAGGCGATGGCGGCACCGGCCGGGACTCAGCCAGCGGTGGAGAGAAGCAAATCCACCCCYCCTTCCCCCAGTTCATCCATCCATCCATCCATCCATGGCCCCCCAGCACCCAGCCCGCCGCCGGACGCAGCTGGAAGCGGCGCTGCCCCGTCCGTGGAGGGCCCGGGAGGCAGCGGCCGGTTCGAGCCGCAAGTCCCCCCACCCAGCCCGCATCCATCCCCTCCAACCCCCCATTGGCCCCCGGTCCCCGCTGCCCCGTGCCCCCGGCACTCACGGGAGTACTGGATGCCCTCGGCGCTCGCCAGCCAGCGCGTGTAGGGATTATCGCTGTTATCATAGAACGGRCTCTTCAAAGGCAGCGTCGGAACAGTGTCCAAGGGGGTTTGCCCCAAAACTCCCGCTTTCCTGGGCGGTTCGGGCGCCTCGCTCTCCTCCTCGCCGCCCTCCGCCGAGCCGTCCTCATCGTTGGTGTCGGGGAGGTCCAAAATGTCCTTCACCGAGAAGCCCGTCTTTGTGTTGGTCAGGGACATGTTCCGGCCAAATTCCGGCTGGGAAAGTTGGAGCCGCAGCTTGGCCGAGCCGCCGGGTCACGGCTGGGCACGCACACGCGGAGCGGCGACAACGACACCGCGCAGGGACACGGAGGGGGGGGGGAGGGGGTCACGGCACGCGTGGAGGAGGGAAAAAAATAGAATAATAATATGGATTTATAGAAAAATAAGCGGCGGGGGTTGTGCGAGAGAAGTGGCCGCAGCGATGGGTCTCTGCGGTGGTGGTTTGTTCTGCCACGGGGGAAAATTCCGAGAGCGGGAGCAGCAGCTGGTTTCGGGAATAGTTTGTAACTCCAGGGAAAANAAAAAAAAAAAAAAAAAAAAAAAAAAAAAAGGAAAGAAAAAAAAGATCACTTCTGGATCTTGTTCAGCCGCGCCGAACCCGCGCCTGCCGCTGGAAAATCCCGAGCCATTGCTGGAGCGAGGAGTCCATATAAGGCTGGTCCCCACACATGAACCTGCCGAGAGGAGGGAGAAAAAAAACCTACATTAAACCCAGGAAAGGTTGGCCACGTGTGGGCGGGTCTTGGAAGTCAAGTGGATGAAGACAGTGTTTGCAGATGTGAAATTGCGGGTTTTGGGCGAGCTCCGAGCTTCCACCATTGGTGATGAGTGGTATAACGTGTCAGTTAATTACCGGCGTGGGGAGGGCCCTTCGCGCGGGGGATGCGCGTGTGGCGGCGCCGGGGGGGGAGGGAGGGAGCGGCGGAGGGAGGGGGCGACTTCCCAGCTTTTTTTTAAGGGCACTATTTACATACAAAGAGCTCCGCACCAGCCCGACACTCCGCACGCTCCAAAGTGTGTTTTCCACCGATGTTTTCCTCCGAGCGAGGGGAGGGAAAAAAAAAAAAAAAAATTAATTGCGAGGGGGCCGTTCCCACAGCCCCGCAACCGCGCAGCCTGCGCGCCCCGCGCTGCCGGCCCCGCGCGGGACCGAGGCGGCTCAGATGGCAAGAGCCCAACTTATCTAACCCGCCTAGGTCAATATTTTGGTTGGGGCTTAGGGATGAGCGCTGGAAATTAAACAGCGAGTAATTGATTCTAGTTTGCTCCGAAATTAAGCGAACTGGCAAAACGCGAGCGTCAGGCGCGACCCGGCGAGATCCGGGAGATGATTATTGGGGATGGGGGGGTAGGGGGGGTGGAAGTGTGTGCTTATTTGAAGAGGTCTCATTGATTTTGCCACCTTCTTCCAGGGGAATAAATCCAGCCCGCTGGGATAATTCGATGAGCAAGTGCCCGATGGACTCATGTATGACTGAATKAAATATATTTTCTTATTTTCTGTATTTTTTTTTCCTTCTTTTTCAGGACCTGGGGAAGGAGGGAGAGGGGCAAAGAAGGGGTTCGTTTCCAGGAGAAGGCCGGCCCCCCAGGTGCCACAACACTCGCCCATACCCGTGTCCGGCTCCGGTCCCGCAGAGCCCGCAGCTTTCCCGGCCGCGGGGGCTCACTCTGCCCTGCGCGGGATGCAGACCCCCCCCCTCCCCCGCCCCCAACTTCTCTCTGTCACCAACTTTTATTTTCATCTCCTTTCTTCCTTCCTCCTTGTTCTCTGCACCCGCCGAAGATCCTCGGCCGTGCGTACCCTCACGGGGCACGGCCCGGACCCTCTTCCTTTTCCCCTTCTCTTCCTTCCTTCCTTCCTTACCCTTCCATCTCTTTCCCTTTCTCATTCCCTTCCCCTCTCTCTTATTTTCCATCCCTTTTCCTTCCCCGAGCCGCCCCGCAGCTGGAGCCCCGCCCGGGCCGGGCTGGAGCGCGGGGATGATGGAGATGTGCGGGGCGATGCGGGGCACTGGATTGTACAATCTGAGAAAGAGCTTTTCCCCCATCCTCGTCATTTCTGGGCAAGAAAATTTGCCCGAGTTTCCCTTCCGGGGGGAAAGACCCGCAACGCCGCCGGCCGCGCTGGGAAGACGCTGCCTCAGCCTTCCTCCTCCGCGCCCATCAATGCATTCGCACCTTCCCCTCCTCTCCCTCGCCGCTCCCCCCCACTTTTGCTGCCCCAGCCCCCAGCCTGCCTTCCATAAAGTATGTGATGTGGCTGACAATGCCCAGGGATTTTTCCCCCCCACCCTTTTTTTTTTTTTTTTTTTTAGCGAGCCCCTGCGCGCATCCTGGGTGGTCGGCCCCGCGCAAACACAAATACAACCCGACGGCTAAGCTGGGGACAATGTCCGCAATGTAGACAAATGTCCGGCTCCTGTTGGAACCCTTTGTCTCGGCGCAGTTTTTGCATTTATTTCAGTGGCGAAATAATACGTGATTGACGCCCTCTTTCAGCGCGCCCTAACTGTTGGGAATAAATCTGAGGTTGTTCCTAGTTGTCATGGTATTCAACCGCACTCAATGGCTATCTCTTCATCCATTGCGGAGTCCTCCTCGATATCGAGGGAACCCCTTCGGGCCGGCCCCCCTCCCGCTCCTCTGCCCCGCGCCCGCGCAGACACCGCCAATTCCCACTAAATCTTGGGGTTGTCGAGGGAATTATTCTTCCCCCCGGCTCGGATGGGGTTTGAAGCCACTGAAGGGGAAAAAAGAGCAGGGAGAACGGCGATAATCGCGATAGCGCCGGGACAGAGAACCCCCGCAGAAGCCAAGCCCGGGGAGGGAAGGGCAGAGCATCCTCGGAGCCGGGCCGGGCGCGGCGAGGCTGCTCAGCATTTAATAATAGCAATAATAATAATAATAATAATAATAATAATAATAATAATAATAAACGCTCCCACACCGAACATGAATCGATGGGCAAACGCCATACCACAGAGTGTCCCGCAGAGCCCTGGCGGCGTGGGGCCCGGGGAAGGCCGGACACAGCCCCGTGGGTCGCGACCCCCTCCCCACGCACGGACATCGCTGTGCACCGCGGGGACGGCCTGGGACACCGTGACGTCACCGGCGGGGGTGACGTCAGAGCCGCGCGGGCCCTTTGACGTCAGGAGAGGTCGCGGGGCCGAGACGCTGCCCCGCACGCGGGCCGCGCTGTGTGGGGGAAAACCCGACGGCAGCCCCGCGGCTGTCGCGACAGAGCCAGGGGGGCCTGTCCCGGCTCCCTCGGTGCCTTGGAGCCCCCCAGCAGCCCCGGAGCACCCACCCCGTGCGGCCCCCGGCTGGTCCCACGCGTGSCGGGGATGCTCCAGCGCCGGGGACAGGGAGTGACAAGGCCGGGGGGGCCGTGTCTGGGGCTGAGTGGCGGCCCTCGGGGACAAGTGGCTYTGCCCAAGGGGACCGATTCCCTCTGTGCTTTCACACAGCAACCCCGGCCCCCGCTCCTCGCGCGGAGCCCGTGGGGTTAAAAGCTGATTTTTCTGTCTTTTGGGATAGGGGAATGGAAATTCCGTGGGGCTACGCGAGGCAACGAGGCCTCGCGGGACCCCCGAGCCGCTCCCGGCAGTCACGCGTGGGCTCAGCCGCCGCGGATCCCATGAGAGGAGCACCCGGCGGATCCCGGCAGCAGGGTCTTGCCACGCCACGGGTGTCTCGACCCGTTTTTAAGCGGTTTCCTCGAGTTTGTCCTCCCTGCCGCGGCCCGAGGGTCCCGCTCCCCGCACAGTGCGGGGTGTCCTCCTCTGCTTTAAGGCAGCGGCCCCCCAACTCCGTTCCTTTCTCCGCCGAGCGGGGTCCTGAGCATGTATCATATATAATGCAATATAATCTCTGTTACTATAAAGAGTAATAATATATATTACAYAGAGAAATGTAGAGAGGGGTGTTGGGCAGGAGACTGCCGCTCTCCCTCCCCTCTCTGCCTGCACCGATACCCGTCTCCATTCCCGTTCCCATCCCCKCTCCGCGGCTCCGGGAGCGGCCGACAAGTGGATCAATTTATCGTTTGATGGAGCCAAAGATGCGAGATATTGTTTTGCCTTCCCTGCAGCCCGCAAATAAACAAACGGAGCAGGGCTGCACCTTGCCGCTCGGTCCGGATTAGCGGAGCCCACACAAAGCCTTTGTTAGGGGACAGGTTGATTTTATCTCCCAGAATGAGATCCACTTGGAATGAATGGGGAAAGGCAAGAGCAGCCCGTGTCCTGATAATTGTTATGAGGAGCTTCACCTCGGGAGCATCCCTGTAAGTAACACCCTCTTTGTTTTAAGGTGTGGCGGAGGAAAGGAGAGCCTCCACAGGAAAGCGGACAGCTCTCCTCGGCCGTAGAAATCAAAATAAAAATTAAAAAATCAGAGAAAAACMGTCGCGGCGAAATAACCCCCCCGCTGCCGAGAGCCGCGCACGGAGGGGTTTAAATCCCATTTTCCAGCGCTGGAGAGGAGAGTCTGCTGCTCGGCGGTGGCTTCGGCACGGAGGGAACCAGCCACGCCAGGCCGTGGGCACGGAGCCCACGCCACGAGATCGCCTCGAACATCGGCAGCCGGGCCAGGGAGGGAGAGAGAGTGAAAATAAGAAAACAAAAAAAAAAATCATGTTTCCTAAAATCAAGGGGAACCAGAGCCTCCCGAATCCTCTGGCGCTTGCAGGAACTTAATTGTAACGGAGTTTCTGCGGGCTGAAATTGCCGGCTCGTTTCCTGGCTGGAAAAATGGCATTAGCAAAGGAGTTAAAGATGTTTCGAGGGGGGAAAAGAAGAAAAAAAAAAAAAGAAAAAAGGGGGGAAGATCGCCCCTCACGCAGAATGGGAATCAGAAGCAGCGTTCCCTATGGAAGCTTCAGGGAAAGCCCCCGCCGCCCCCCAAAATCCCGGCGCCGGCCTGCCTTTCTCCAGCAGACAATTAATTCTTCTCCAGGACATAGGAATCTAAATGAGCTTCCCTATTCTCACGATTGCTCTATCTCCTTCCCCCCGAAGCTTCAAAGGCGGAGAAATCCTTCCAATTCACCGATATTCCTTATAAATCTGTAGATGTGGATCTGCCCCGCAGCCAAGCTCCGAGGTGGCGAATTGTCATAGAAATTGGGATTTTCCCCCCTGCTCCCTGGGGGCCGGCGGGGTTATGGCAGAGCCGGAGGGCACATGTTAGGGCTTTGATAAATGCACT